GGCGAGAATTTGTAATTGTTCTAATTAAATGGAATAGGAAATCTTGAAAAATAGAATTGTCTTAAAATAATGGAAAATTGTCAAAGGAAAATTATAATAGAATTTGTTCTGATTAAATAAACTAATTAAAAGGAAATAGGATGTTTCGAAAAGAAACTTGTTCATGAAATAGAATTGTCTTAAAATATGGGAAAGTTGTTAAAAGAATTTATTGTTCATGAAATGAATTTTGAATTAGGGAGCAAATAGACCCTCTTCCACAGATTTTAGATAGCAACTCCAAGTATATAAACACCATCAATATACCGCTCGCCATTTACCATCTAACTAATTTACATAGAGTACTTGGGGCGTTTTGCTACAAGACATTTAGTGGATGTTCAGCGGACGACCCAACAAAGATATACATATACTTGAATGTCCAATGGACATCCAGATCTGATTCAGAGGATATCTCATGGACATCCACTGGTACAGTTCTGAATCATTCCTGGATGCAGGGCCGTAGCTAGAGTCAAATTTGTGATAGGGCATGACAAATTTGACATAGGGCATACACTACTTGCCCCTCCCCCTTAAATTATAGGTTAATAAACTGGTGGTACAGCGACGAAGGCAAATTTTCCAATAAATAACATCACTGGCAAGTAAACAAAATGGCGCTGATTCTCACGCCGCCTTAGACCATTCGCACCAAGGATAATACACACTAATAGTGAAATCCATTGTGTAAGTTCAGTTCGCACTGAGTGTATTCGTGTCCTCTTTTACTAGCATGTAGAAGAAAGTGACAGAAATACATGTTTTTTGCACTAATTTTTCCGATGGTTTTCGCCATAACTACTACTACTACAGGATAGTTTATCCTCATAAGGCCTGTGTACCTATATCATATCTCAAGCCCACCACCATACCAAAGAACCAGTGATTACGTAGGCAATGTGTCGTTTCTCGCCTTGACATAGGGTGTTTTCACCACAAGTTATGATCCCATGATAACATCTATCATCATAAATGTATATTCTAAACTACGACCGCTAGCGCAAACAGCTGACGACGTAATTGATGATGTCGTCGATAGTATTACACCATATGGCCGGAATTTCCACAAAAACCACAAATGAGGTCGATATGCAATCCTGTGTATTTCTAGAGTAGTGTGTATCATAGTGTTATCCTTGCATTTGCACTCTTTCGAAACGAAAAACTTTCTCTGTGTAAACGTCAAAGGTCAAAGATTGTTGCATAAATTTAAGAGTTTTCAGAAACACTTATCCTCGCACTTACTCGATTTCAGGCCTATTCATTATGTACTCTCAAATTTCCTAGAGAAACCTTATGAACGCATGTTGCGTTTCAAAGGTAGGGCATAGTTATTTGAAAGATAGGGCATTGCCCCCCAATGCCCCCCCCCTGGCTACGGCCCTGCCTGGATGTCCAAATTAAATCCATGTCTAGGGTTTCCATACGTCCGGATTTACCCGGACATGTTTGGGTTTTTAGGGTGTCCGGGGAAGTCCGGCCGGAATTCGGAACAGTGTCCGGAAAACTCGGAGATACCCAAGGATGATACACACTACTACTACAGGATGGCCTATCCTCATATGGCCTGTGTGTAACAAACGAGTAACAAATTCCCCCTCGCCCAAATACCAGTTGTGACGTAGGTAGCATGTTATTTCTCGCCTTGACGTAAGCTTTTTAAACAGCTGATGACGTCGGAAATGGTTTCACACCAATATGTCGGCAACTACCCAAAACAAGTCCGATAAGCACTCCTTAAGAGTGTGTATTCTCCTTGGGAGATACCTACCAAAAATTCGAAATTTTAATTTTGTATCCTGGGGTGGCAAGTAAATTGTATCCTGTATCCAATTATTCGGTCGCCATTTTGATACAAGGAGAAATAGGAGAATACACACTCTAAGTCGTCAGCTATTTAAACTACAGTGACTCTATAACCTACAGTGGCGACAATTGCTGTCTCATTTTTGATTGGTTCTAAAATCGCATAAATTTATATTGAAAACACCGCCATCTTGTTCCCAACCCCTTGTTACTTTCAAATATGAATATATGGGATTTAGGTGAACATTCATCATAAATCATGGAAAACAACGTATTTGATGGAGCTAATACTGCTCATCAAATACGTCGATTTCAATTTTTTATGATAGATGTCCATTTAATTCCTATATATAAATATTTAAAAGTAACAAAAGGTTGGGAACAAGATGGCGGCGGGACCTCTATTGTCGCCACTGTATGTAAAGATTTATTTAGCCACTGTAATTTAAACAGAAACAGCCTACGTCAAGGCGAGAAACGCCATGCAGCTAACGTCACAACTAATTGTTTGGCTTGGGAGGTAGGGGGGGATTTGTTACACACAGGCCTTATGAGGATAGGCCATCCTGTAGTAGTAGTGTGTTTCATCCCTGATTTTGATACACAAGTGTTATTATATTTTTGTCTCTTGTCATTGGTACCTTGTATTTGTCATTATGTCTTCAGTATAACGGAAAAAATGCTCAAAGCATATCTATTAATTTCTGTAAAATTTTTTTTTTGCAAAAAATAAACAAAATTCATCCTTTATAAAAATTTTATCGACGAAGTCCGGATTTTGTCCGGATTTCTTGACTCCTAGGTCCTGGATTCCGAAAAACCTTTATGGAAACCCTATCCATGTCGTACCGCTCAAACATCCATTCTATGTATGTCATTATCAATAAAGCATCCATTTATAAGCCATTCATGGAATACTCCTGGAGATAATATAGATGTCCATAAAGCCTCCATTTACAGGTCATTTATGAACCATAGACATGATATGGAAATAGTTATTTACCTAACAAATGCGGAAAGTGATACTTTACCGCACGCAACGGCAGTTGACCAAACGACGCGAAGCGGAGTTCGGTCAAGCCGTTAAGGGCGGTAAAGGCACTTTCCGCATGTGTTAGGTACAAAATTTTACCTATGAGCATCTACATCTCCAAAAAAAGGCATTGATAAAATTAATTAATGAATCAGATTAATTAATGAAATTAGATAAGATTTAGAAATGATCAAAAATCCATTTTCTGAAAAAGAGAGGATTTTTGATTATAAATATCAAATTCTACTTTACCGCACACTATGCGGTAAAGTGCACTTTACCGCACACTTTGTATTCTACTTTACCGCATACTATGCTGTAAAGTGCACTTTACCGCATAGTGTGCGGTGAAGTGATACTTTCCATTTGCAAATACGTGCGGTAAAGTGCACTTTACCGCACGCTCGTAGGTAATAAAATTTTACAAAATTGCTAAAAAAAAATTTAACTAGGAAAAGTTTACTATTGCAAGTAAGGATCATCCAGTTTCATCATCGCTGGAATTTTTGATATAGAGATATTGAGTTAGGTTAGAAAACATCAAAATCCAAGATTATGAAATAGAAATAGTCCAAGAGCACAGAGACGCCAGACACAACTTATTTTCTAAACGATTTTTACAGTTTTTAGGCTCAGAAAATTTCAATAATCTGACATTGCCTTTACGAAATCACTCATTACTCAACTATTATACACAACATGATGAATCAGAATTAAATTATCTCTAAGATAAAACAAGATTCTCTATCTCAAATAATACTTCTCAAGATATTGAAGCTCAAAGTTAAACCATCCATATATTTCTGAGGTTTCTAATATAAGTAGCATGCTTCTTGCTTTCCAGCAGCAAGTCGCATGCTAATTTGATTTGAATGCTCACTTAAAGACGTCTTTTCTAGGTCTGTATTGAATAATGGTTTGTATTAAAAAAAAAGAGATTCAAAGACGTCTTCAAGACATCTGGTTGAAGACGTTTTTAGAATGTCTTAGAAAAATATCACTAAGAAGTTTTTAGGCAGACGTTTAAAAGACGTTAGGTTTTGTTGGTTTTATAACATACGACGTCTTTAAGATACCTTTAATACATAGGTAAGCAGGCACGTCTAAAAAACGTCTTGAATGTCGTTTGTAGACATCTCAGGGGCGTTTTTTAAGATATCTACGAGAACTTCCTACAAAATTCCGATTCTCATTGAATTTAGAAGTTACTGGAAACGATTTAAAATGCTACAGAACACTTTAAAGCCCTTTGAAAAGTTCAAAAGTATTTAAAATTCAATTCAGAATTTCCAAAAGCATTCTAGCTGTAACGCTTCAGAATGCTTTTGTAAGTGTAATTAAACTTCTAGAATGCTCCAGAACTCTTCAAGCCAAGTTTCCACAACACAGCGGCATTTTGGAAGGCTTCAGAACAATTTAGAAATCTTTATTTTTCAATTTTTCTCTATTCCCAGCTCTTGAATTTGTTGAAATAAAGAAAGTTCAAGAGCCTAGGATAGAAAACAAATATGAATGTCCCATGTCCTGTTATTATTATTTATAAAACAATGCATTTTGCTCAAAAATCATAAACTAACAGCATTGCTTATCCTTATAGAATGTACGTTCGCCAATTCTCGAGTCGGCAGGGCCTGCGCGTGACGTCACCACCATTAGCAGCCTATAGTGGTGACGTCAGCGGCAGACCACAATGAGATGATTGCAAATCAGGCTGTGCTTGTGAGATCATATCGATATAACAAACGCTTCTTTCGATTTAAATCTAAATAATGCATGCCTTCTCTGGCTATTCTGGCGAATGCGTAAAATAAAATAATGATCGATTTTGGATGGGTTCCGTTGCCAACCTTGACGGTTACACGTTCCGTAATGTCTGGTTCCTGAGAAACCGGTCTATACGGAACGCGGTTGGTTATGTCAAACATGTCTGCGATTGGGAAAGCGTTCCGTATGAAACCGAAATTTACAGCCGTTGTACCGACCAATGAACTATGTACCGATCGGTTAACCAGGTTAGGCAACGGAACCCACCCTTTGTAGTTGACGGTACACGACTAGTTGACACTGACAGATAAATGACGTTAGCTTGCAAACAAAACATCAATTTGTTGTCAAAGTCAAAAAAATCAAAAAAAGGAAATTTTAATAATCCAAATTCTAAAATAATTAAAAAATACTTAATTAATTTTAAAATAAAAACTAATACATGATAAGTGAGTGATAAGTTTTTTTGTTATAAAGTTGTGTACTATAGTATGATAAGGTAAATATCTATTTAATTTAGGTATAATAATTAGTTTTTCGACCTACGAAGATAGGCATGGTGACTTTGGAAAAACTCAAAAATGTGGCTATAATTTAATTAAAAACACTTTACAAAATGTTAATTATATAACTAACAGTTTAGATTCACAATTATTTGCATAGTTTTTACCTGCTTCACCACCAGAAACATCCCAAGGTCTTTAGATAAAGGAAATTAACCCTGAGGGTGTTTTTTTTTTTTGGGCTTTTTGAGAATGCAGCCACCACCTTTTAAAGGATTTTTTTGTACATAGAAATTATATAAAGACTATGGTCATTGTTTGAATTTATAAAAGAATAAACCATTCAGAAAATTAACAATAATAGTTGGCTTTTTTTAAGTGAAACTCGAGGTGAAACTAGAAAGATGTGTGTCCTAAATATTACTTAAAACCCCACGTTATATATGTGCTTATAATTTAGAATTAAAGCTTTTTTTGTGAGTATTTATGTATTTTCATCGAATAATATCTTTAAATGACAATATAAAGTATAAGCCAAGGTATAAGCTATCCAAACTTTTCAACCACATGTGTCCAATCAAAACTAATTAAACAAATTGAATCTACACTCTACATTCTTAGAAAACCCAATCCTAGTTCAAATGAAAAACTGCATTGAGTTGAGGTTAGTTTTAATTTAAAATTTGCATTCAAGTCTAATATTGTGGAAATTTTCTTTGCAAATTTATTACTATGTAATTAAAATCAAAATTTATTTACAATATAGTGTTTACACACATGTCAGGCAAATTAAACAAACAACCACAAATCATATGGGTAGGGCTGCCATTTATGAAATTTGTTACTTAGGACAATTTTTACAAAAACCGCTCAAACCCGGACACCACTAAAGGGTAGCCCACCTTAGGCACCGCCGGAGGCAGAAGATTTTTTTGGGTGCCACGCTCAAAAAAGTTTATTTGAAGCCTTCGAGAATCACTCATTATTTTGACAAAAAAAATCATTTTTTTGGGGTTTTTTATAGCTTTCACCAAGTTCCAGACATGACTAACGACACGTGAACGTGAAATTTGAGTCGCGCACACGCGTGCTAAATAAAACTGATGATGTCGATTGACGATTTCCATGATTCTTGTCAATTTCGCAAAGTTATTCGTGATTTTTTTCAAGATGCTGTAAAGCGTAAAACACGGATAACTTCAAAAAATCTCCCCGGACACCTTTAAAACTAGAACAAATTTGGGGAAATCCGGACGGATGGCAGCCCTACATATGGGCAAACTTACTTAGGTCATCAGGATCCTTATTCTTGAATCAGGAGAGCAGTGTTCCCAGGAGAACAAGTGTTCCGTCTTACTCAATGATATGCAAATAATAATATAAGTAACAGAGATGGAACACTCGTTCTCCCGGGAATGCTGCTCCCCTGTTTCAAGAATAAGACTCCTGATCTAAGGACTGGGAAAGATGAAGCCCTTAATATAAATAAATAAATAAATAAATAAATAGTCTTTTTTATTAATAACATTAATATGTAATTTTGCAAAAATACGTAAATAAATACCAATAAGTATAAAATTTTATATTATTTTTTGTACATGAAAAATGTGATATTTGCTCTACAACCCAAGTTGTAAAATAGGCAAGTTATATTAATAGATATTTTTTAATTTATTTATTTATATTGTCAGCAATATAACTTTTTTTGTATGTTACATGTGCGTAATTAACTTATATCAATCACTTATTTGTGGTTTCACAAGTTTGATTGAAAAGGTAACTTGTCCTGAATCAGACACAATGTTAAAAATCAAAATTTTTTTCATATTTTCAACTCATAAAACCCATAAGTGCCCTAAAACTGTACCAATTTTGGTGGACACAATGTTGATAAAGAAAGTATTAATCACCTGTCAAAATTATTTTAAAATTTGAAGCCAAAATGGGTCTAGAACACATTAGGTCCCTAAAAACGGACAATTTTTCTATGTTCAAATTTGCATTGGAGTAATTATTAGGACATAATGAAGAAAAAAAAATATGGATGAGTTCATTTTTTTGATAAACAATATATTATTTAAATATACAGGGTGTCGTAAAAAGATACCGACAAACTTTAAAGGGTAGTAAGGGACATCAAAACAAAAAACAAGCATTTTTGTTTATATAAACATATGTCCGCAAATGAGCCGTTTGGGCTGTAGAGCAAAAAAATTGTTTGATACTTTTATTCTTCGCAATAATTAAATCACTGTTTACTTATTAATTTTGCTTATTTATTAACAAATAAATTATGGTTTACAATAATTGTTCAAAATGTTGACCATTTACTTCAATGCAAAGATTGCACCGTCAGGTAATTAATAGACAACTACTAAGTTAATTAAGGAAACTAATCACAAATTAGGTAGGAATTTTCAAAATGTCACTAAAAAACCAGTAAAAAATCAATAAAATCAGTAAAAAACCTCAAAAAAACCCTTTCCATAAACATTAAATATTGTAAATATTTACCAAGGTGGTATGCTGATTTTGCCATAAAATAGAAATCTATTAAAGTAAACAAATTAAATGAACAAAATAATAATAATTGTAAAAAATCACTAGTCACTAATGCCTTATATCCTCTCGCTTCTCAACCTTTGACACAGATCAATAAATAATATCTATTCTTATCAGCTTAATATCGCTATACCTATCAAAGATGCACAATCAACAAAGAAAAAAATTAAATTAAAAAAATCATAACTTGATAAATATTCAAGGATCCATATTTTTTTTCTCGCTAACCATCTTGAAATTGCTTTGTTTATCAGTAATAATCAAAATCATATTGAAAATCAAAGGGACCTAAAGTGATCTATCACCACCAAAATCTATAAAAAAACACACTCAAAAAAATTGATAAATTGATAAATCACCCCAAATTGCCTCACACGATTTTATCTCAGGAACTATAAGTCCAAATGAGTTGAAATTTTCAGGGATTGTAGTCCTCTACTGGAATAAGAATCGCTGAAAATTTCAGCTTTGTATCTTTGATAGAAACAAAGTTATGACCTTCCAAAGTTTTCAAAAATCTAAGTAATAAACTTTCATTTAATGTCCAAAAAATCAAGTACATAAGTTTTACCTTATAGAAAGATAAGCTCCCTAAAATTGGATCATTACAGGTTAATCAAGAGATAGCAATTCCCAAAACTGAAAGTACCTATTAAATATCTAGGTATTATCTTGGATCAAAATCTAAAATGGAATCTACTTGTTAAATATGTCATTCAAAAAATTAGATTTCTGATATCAAAATTTAAATACTTAAAAAACTATTTGGACATAAAACACCTTATTGTAAAATTTGGAATATGTCAGAATCAGATAAAGAAGTTGAGAATGGAATAAATAAACGTATATAAAGTTAGCAGTGCAATGTCAGCAGTGCAAAATTTTTATGACTGGAAAAATTAGTGCTAATTAAATGCCAAGTTGTAGTTTCCGAGATATGGCCTGCATTGCTAGCTAACCGTTAAAGATAGCAGTGCACCATCCAGGATTAATCCAGGAAAGTGGTAGCGTGATAGAAATTATGAAAAAAATTCAATGCTACCATTTCCATTAACAAAATTTCTATTTTCAGCTTTTTTTCGCACATTTTTTTTTAAAAAAAGGTGCACTGCTAGCTTTATGCAGTACACATATTGAGCTTTCATGAAAGAAGGGATTGGTAGAGTTTTCGACATAGGAATAATTTAGTGTTAATCAAGTGCTAATTGAATGCCAGCTTCACAAATTTTGTGCTCTTGTAGTTTCCGAGATATGGCCTGCACTGCTAACTACCCGTTTAAGATAGCAGTGCAACATCCAGGAATGATCCAGGAAAGTGGTAGGGTGATATAAATGATGAAGAAAATTAAATGCTAATTAAATGCTACCATTTCCATCAACAACCACTGGCGTAGCTAAACCAAACGTGGACGTCGGCGACATCCGAATTGCGAGGCCCTTTTTATGAAGGGGTGGTCATATTTTTTGTGACAAAAAACTGGATATAAGACAGGGATAAGTAGCTGCCGGCAGGCCCCCCGAACCGAAAGATAACCGCGAAAGGCGAGAATTTTTTGAATGTCACGCCACCTTTTTCAGACATATCAATTCGATAGTCATTTTCAGTCAAAAATATTAATATTTTTCCGCTAAAAATCCTACAGCCAAAAATAAATTTCTCATTTATTACAGTATGACGCAAACATGGACCGACAATTTTTAGTAGGAATCAGGAAACCTAATTAATTTCCGAATCCCTGTATGTTAGTACATATGTTTATGTTTGCTGTTTGCTGTGCAAAATCAAATGCTGGATAGACTTTCAAAATGCTGTAGAATGTACAGGGTGTTTCCTTATATTTTGACCCCTACCTACAGCTTTAGCTATACGAAGTGTAAAAAAACTTTAAATATGAAAGTTGTAGGGTTTTATGTCTATTATCTTTTTCGAATATCAAAATGGGCAAATGACAGGTGTCAACTGTCACAATGACAAACACTTGCATTTTTCAAATGGAACACCCTGTATATTTTTGTCTAGAATGATAGATCGTTTTCTTCTGATTCCAAACATACCATATACTTATGTTGATATTTGGTTCAGCTGTTTTTACGCTATTCAAGTTTAAAAATGCATTTACATTACCCTAAATTAGGTCTGTTCCCGGTTTCTAATATCAATGATGAGGCTTGCTCAATGCAACTTTAAAATTGAATAGCGCAAAAAACAACTGAACCAAATATCAACATATATGGTATATTTGGAATCAAAACAGTGGCGGTTCGTCAAAGGAGGCAGGGGAGGCTAAACCTCCCCCAACAAATTGTAAATTCAATCTCAATTTTTTATTCCTGATTTCTAATTAAAATAATAATTAACAAATTACACTTTCCAATTTTCGATATTTCAATGTAATTTAGAAAAATCTGACAACATTATTTCAATCAATCCCGC